GTGTGTGTGTGTGTGTGTGTGTGTGTGTGTGTGTGTGTGTGTGTAGGATAGGTCAGATGTGTCCAGGCCAGCAGCCTATGCTTTCTAGGAGAACATGACTCCTCAGCTCTCGAGTTGATCTGGGTGTCATTTTTTAAGGCTGTTCTAATTGTCGCAATTACAGTTTATAACACTAGGTGGCATCTGTTACATAATTCAGAGGTTTGACTTGCAGTTAAGCTCCCAGGAGTCTGGGTTTCTGCAGAACTTTCTTATGGTTCTTTAACAAGCAAAAGGAGGATTTTCCTGTTATTTGGAAGCCATTTCCTTTTGTGGCTTAGCGGTCTATAGCTAACAAGAAGCTGTAGTTGCCAGTGAAGAGATCGCTGTTGTCCACTCAATTTCTTAACATGCTTTTATCATGAAGTCACAGTTATTTCTTAGACAAAATATGACTAGTTTTTTGGCAGGTAAACATCTTGACTACGTTTTAAAGGAGTGCTCTTCCGTGAGTCACCTTTGCTATTCTTAGTTCTTCATTTGTAGAACAGATAATCCTGACTCTAGGACTCTCTAAGTGTGGATTATAATGCACTTACAAATTTGCATATAGAGAAGTTAATTTGTGTGTTCATAAACATTGCCTGTACTTTGACATGTCTGTTCTTTGAAGTTGACTTGCAGAAGTTCATGTCCGAGTTACTGGCCTTCTTAAAGCCTCACCTTCAGCCCTCCCTACAACTGCACAACCCATGTGAATGGCTGTCCAGGGTCTTCATAGAGCAGGATGATGACATGCTAGAGGCTGCCAGAGCATCCCTGAGTATCTACCTCCACTTGACCAGGTTTGTGTAACACACACATCGGAAAATGCGCTTCTGCCTGGGGCATAGTCGTCCTGTGGTTTCCTCCAGTGTTAACTCTGCCTTACATGAAAATGGATGCCATGTGCATTATACTGAGAAGTTGGCTGGCCGAGCTGATCAAGGAAAATAGGAACTCCTGGGTTCCAGTGTAATTCCATCTGTGTGTTGCCTGTGTGATCAGGGGAAGCCTGTACCTTCTGAATCTTAGCTGGTGACTAAGAACCATTTTTAAAACCTCCCAAGGCACCTCTGAATTAAGCTCCTTTCAGGTGACCTTTGCCTTTGTCGTAGTGAATACAAATGTAAATAACCAAAGGCATGTTTCCACACTTGAGATTTCATCCACATATACACTCCAGCTGCTCCCTGTAGAGAGCCACGCTGAGGCTGCTTGTGGAGTCACATTGCTGGGACACACCTGCCCCAAGTCTGTGTCTGCTTCATACTGGCAGCAGTGTGGTAATAGCTCCTAAAGTTGACCACCGCCGAGCCTTTCCACCATTTCTGCTCTGCTTTATTGAAACCCTCAAGTACCTGCTCCATTTCCCTCTCCCTTGGCCTGGGAGAAGGCCTTTCTCTCTAACGCTCGGCAGTTGCAGCCTTGTGCTTGCTACGTTAGGACCCAGCTGGCAATGGCTGCTTTCCATATATAAGAGTTTGTGGCCAGTTTTCAAAAGGTTCTACTCAAAAACAGAATTCCTGTATATAATTTGAGTTAGGCTCAAAAAGAGTGTAATGCAGCTTTAGAGTGTATCTTGATTTCATTCATCACTGGCCTGTAACTCCTCTGTTTTGTGTGACGTTTCCTGCCTTTGCTTCAGCTCACTATGTTCACAGATGTAGATTCTTGTGCTTTGGGTAACTAAAAAGTGCCACCATGTTAAGGTTTTCTTGTTTATGAATGACAAAAACCATTTCAAATGGGTTTAAGCAAAAACAAATTTTTGAGAACTGGTTGAGACTTTTAAGAGCATCAAATTGGCAACAGGCATAACTGTGTACCTATTTCTGTATGTGTCTGTGTGTGTTTATCTACGTGTGTGTCTGCCTATTTGTCTCTCTGTGTCTGTGTGTGTGTGTCAGTCTGTGTTCAAATCATGCCAGCCATTATTTCCCGTTCATGATTTCACAGCCTGATTCATTCTCAAGACCAGTCACCAGCAACTTCTGCCTTCCAATGGTTGTAATCTTTCTTAGCCATAGAGATGTCTCTGGGAGGATCTATCATGGGGCCATGTTCTGATTGGTCAGTCTGGGTCACATATCTAACCCTGATGAGTGAATCTTGAGCCCTTCTTGAGAAGAGATTTTTGATGTAAAAGAAAGGACAGAAGACTTTTGTGCAGACAGAAGCTAAAGCTGGTTGGGGGTGAGCAGATTCAGGTTTGATTTGTTCCGTCTTAAAGTGATATGTGAGGATGTGTTTATAAAGACCTGTCAACCTGACCTCTGTCTTATCTGCATTTTCAGAGAATGGGACACTTGTGCATGTCTGACTCAAGAAAGAGAAGCATGGATCCACTACACACATGGAAATGGCTGTAATCCTCACTGTATTTTCTTATTCTTCTTAAAAAGTATAGCCTTTGACTCTACAGTTCTTCTTGACTTCTTGATTTCCTCAGAAACCTGTTTCCTTGAATATTTTGTTAAATATTTAAAATTACTGCAGAAAGACTGGGACCACTTTCTGTCCATCTGCAAGTTCTTTGCTGCAACAGGACCAAAATGTGGAGTAAATGTTCATGATCCTCTTCCCTCACTCGTCCACAACGGAAGCACCAGCCACATGGTCCCTCGTGCTCTGGCTTCTCCTGTTGGTTGCATAAATGCTTGCCTGTGGATCCCCCAGGCTTCTGATGCCGCCTTTGACTCCCAGAGCCAGACTGTGATGCCCAAGGAGACCCATACAGTGCCAGCCCATGGCCCACCTTCCTGGACACCACAGAGTCTGGTAGACTATGACAGCTCAGGAGGTTCTGATGAGGAAGCCCCAAGTGAGCACCTGGTAAACAGCAAACAGACATCTCTATGTCAAGAACTGACCAGGGAAGTTCAGGGCCTGCCTAGGACATGTAAGGATCAAAAAGAACTAAGCCTGGAGCCTCAATCGCGGCCTGTGCATCCCAAAGAGGCCAGTCCTCTCTTCTCTGCCAGTGGTAATGGTGCTCCAAGTGGGACCATCCAGGAAGTGGGACCGTTTCTTAGAACACTGAAATGCCTTGAGGAGCTACACAGTGCTATTTATCGTCTGCAGGAGAAAAATCTCTTTCCGTATAACCCAGCAGCACTTCTGAAGCTGTTGAAAGGGGTGGAGGCGAAGTGTCATAACGTGGGAGCCCTGGGTAGCACAGCAGCGTTTGTCTGAGGGGCTTGTTTTCGTTTATATTAATTGAATTTCTAAGACAAATAAAATTACCTGGTACAGCTCAGTAACAGCTGAAAGTTTATGCTAGTTCAGACTACACGGAATTGGCCATGACAAATGACTGCATATTCCGTAGCCTAAAACAAGTGAGATTTAGTCTCTTATTTCTGGGGGGGGCCAGAAGCCTAAATTCAAGGTGCCAGCAGGGTGGGATGTCTTTTCTTCTGGTCACAGCAATGCCGAGTGTCCCTTGCCTGGTAATGTGTCACCTCAGTCACTGCCTTACGTGGCACTGTCTCTGTGTGTATGTCTGTCAGAATACAGTATGACCTCATCTTTACACCTGCAAGGACCTTATACTGCAGTAGGGCACATTCATGGCTTCCAAGTGGACATGAATCTGGGGGAGATACTGGCCCAGGACAATTTTTATTTCTCTGAAGTGTTTACATACAGTGATGGGTAAGAGGAAAACTTTCAAGTCAAGGTCTCTGTATGTAGCCCAGGATGGCCCCAAACTTGCTATGTAGCCCAAGGTGGTCCTGAGCTTACCTTCCTTCTGCGTTGGCCTCTGAAGTGCTGGCATTAGAGTTGTGTGTACCCTCATGCCCATATCAGAGACACTTGAAGAGGAATAATTAGCTCCACCTGCTTCACCTGCACATGCACAGGGTTCTCAAAGAAGTTAGTGGCCAAGATGGCAAATGTCTATAACCTCCACGTGTGGAGGACGGAGGCAGCTTAAGGCCATCCTGGACTGAAAAGTTAGGCCATACCGCAAAAATAAAATTAATTGACATAATATCTTACTTGTTTGTGTCCCTAGTGTTATTCTGATCAGTGTATCTAATATGCAGTGTTCAGATTGCGGTGATTATCACGCCTAGCTCCTCAATATTACCAGCTTCTCTTGGGTGTCTCCTCAGTGAATGGGGTTGCTGGAGTGATGGTCATTCTCTTCTCAGTTTGAGAGACCTCCCCATTGTTTGTGTCTTACCACATCCCCGCTGTGCATCCAACCCATGATGCCAAGTGCACTTCTGTGCACTTTTTGTTACCTTGGTTATTTTGTCTTGTTGTGAACATAGCTTTGCGGTCGGAGTAACAGTACCTCATTATGGTTTTGATTTGCGTTGCCCAGATTCAAGACATTGAACGCTTATCCTTGGGAGCTGTTTGCGTGGCCAAGGAGCCAGTTCCCAGTTCGGGAAGAAACTTTCTCAAGACAGAAAAGCAGAGAGTGATGGAGGAAGATGCCAGATGCCCTGCTCTGGCCTCCACCACACACGAGAGGCAAATACTTGATTACCTGTAGTAATTAGAACAACTTACTACTTACTCAGGGAGAAATGCTAATTTTAAAAATCAGTAAAATAGCAGTCAAATAGAAGTATGGATGGCAAAAAGTTTGGTGAGACAAGTTGATGAAGGTATGTGCTGGCAGTGTCTACCGTAATGGCACTTGGATTTTTAAGAACTGTAATTATTCTACAGCAAGGCCTTGCAGTTGCTAGGTAGACATTATAGAGCTGGCCGTTCCTGCTTGCTTTCTCTTGGCTGTCTGTGTGTCCTCTCCCGTGTGCATCCCTCTTGCCTCAGCTTCCCCAGGAGATGGGGCTACAGGCAAGTACTAATAAATCTAGCTCTTTCATAATTAGTAAAGCGTATTAAAGAATGTGTTATTAAGGATTACACATTGTAAAAGACAAGATTAAACATATTTCATTTGGAATATTACAAAGCTGTAAATGAATGCATTGTATCTGTGTTATAGATGTGAAACTTCTCTAGCAAAAACAAAAAGAATATACTGGGTCTCCATTTTTTAAAGAAAAGTACTAGGGCAGGAGCAACAGACAGTGATGTCTTCACATATTTATGTGTGTGGTTTTCATTTGATATCCAAAGCATGACTTCCAGGATGAAGCTAAAAATGTATGGACTTTCCCTTAGTATAAAGCAGCCTGCTACGTTCATACAGCCTCCATGTATCCACAAAGATCACATACACCTCATACAATGTGCTTGTGCTGGAATGCTTAATTTTTGTAATACGGGGCTAAATGATGCCTCAGTGGATAAAGGTATGTACTGTCAGGCAAGTGTATGTACTCACTGTGTACATACATGCCTCCTCCATCCCCACACCTAATCGTGTTTGTCTCAAAATGTCTCCTGGCTGAAGATACGCTGGTCCCCTAATTCTTTGACAAGGAGGGCAAGCCAGCCCAAGAGTGAATGCTGGAAGGTGAGCCATTTCCAATGGAGGTTACTGTTGTTTATCCCCCTGGCATAAAAATTCCTGTGGTAGGAAAGAGAAGCCCAAAGTTATGTCATGGAGGGAAGGCCCAGTGGGACTCCCGCGGACTGCCCCAGCTTCTGCAGCCTCTGCCAGACGATTAAGTCCCAGATTTGCTGGTGTCATCTGTACTGCTGTTACATGTTCTTTCACCTGGAAGCGTCACTGAAGGAGACATGGTCCCAAGCTGTCAATCAGGAACTCCAACTCATGCCCAGCTTCCCCAGCCAATTTCTCCTGGGCCTTGATGGGCCCTGATTTGATGGCATTACCTTTTGTTTGCACTCTCAGTTGGACAACTGCCTTGGTTTCTGCTGGTTGTTTTGTGTGTCTAATTGACGGTCTCCTATCTGTTGCATCTCTGTATCTGCTACTTGCTATTTATTCTTTTGCTTGCTGTATACTTAACAGGCTCTTTCAAAACCAAAAGTGTGACTGTTGTAGACCTCTGGACCATGCAGAACAGAGAGGCATTTTGTTTCTGCCATTCTTTACCTACTGCTAGAAGTATATTCTTACTTGTTTTTGGAATACCAAGTAACCACATTTTAGATGTTTTTAGTAACCGCTGCTTTGCTGCCTCATGATTATCTATACAGACAGCATGCTAGGTTGATCAGCTTGGTCAACACTGGCCATACATACAGTAGAGCACGGAGTCCAGGCAGGTTAGACAGGGTCTTGTGGAGAGGGCCCAGTCTCATGAACAGCTTCTCCTCCACTGTTCCCCACCTAGCTGCTTGCCCTTACATGTTTTTATGGCAAGAGCCTCTGAGGTATCAGGTCTGGAAAGCTGTCCTTATTGGTTCCTCACCATTAGTTCTGAGCTGCCCTGTGCTCTCTGCACTTGATTTTTTCCCCAGCTGTAGCATCTTTCATATTATATATACATCATCAGGAGGCAGTCCATCCACATGTCAGGTTCTTTCTACATTGTCCCCAGTGGATAGCAGCCATCACTTTATAGACAACACAGACAAGAGGAGGCTCCTTTCCAGAAGCTGGAGAGTCCTGGGGAACACAGATGGGTGGAGAATTAGACCCTGAACTTACATGCGTTCCCCAGATGTCAGCTCTTACAGTGCTCTTTGACTCCCAGAGGTGATGGTAGATGGTGAGTACTGTGACAAGTCCTTGCAAGATGAAGTCACTTGAAAGATCACCAGCAGGGAAAGGGAGTTGGCTGAGCTAAGTGGAGGCATCTAGATAATCTGGTCTAAATATCCTCTCATATCCCTCTTGGTGATTGTTTCCTGTCCTTGGGACACAGTGCCATCGATGTGGGTGAAAGCCAAGATTGTTACAGCTGTGAGTATGGGCAGCAGTGGTGTGATAAGACCTACAAAAGGAGGAGGGAGTTGATCCAGTAGCATCACAGATAAGACTGTAACAACACCACTCTAAAAGGTAGGAAGCAGAAAAAAAAAATCCCTTTAAAACAATTACAACAGAAACTAATCTTCAGGAGAAATGCATAAGATCTTAATTTGAAATCTAGAAAGCTTAGCAGAGCAGAGAATTTGGAAAACAGGAAGGAAACACGATTGCAATCTGAAAACTGGTTCACAAGGTTCGGTAGTTGAATTAAAAGCTGCTGCTGCTGCTGCTGCTGCTGCTGCTGCTGATGATGATGATGATGATGATGATGCTGATGATGATGAGAATGTCTTAAACAAAGACCAACTCCTGTGAGGAAAACAATGAGTGCGTTTTTTACCTAGTGACTTTCAGTGCTGTTGTCAGCACAAGATGTTGGCCAGCAGACAGAAAACCTCTGCTGAAAATCAGAAGGGCACCATTAGAGCAAGATATGGGAGCTGTTTCCATGCAGATATGACATTGGCAGAAGATATGCTGGCCTCGAGGACAGAGGCAAAAGAGAAAGAGGTGTTGAGGGTCTAAGTAGAAGAAAAGTGAAAGGGAGACAGGAGAAAGAAATACAAGGGCTTGGGCAGGGCTTCAGGAAGGAAATAACACAGTTCAGGGTGTGGAGTGAATAGTCTAAGAAGAGGCTAGCTGCTGTATAGTTGGATGACTAAGAAGCTAGTGGGATGTTGGAGAGATGGCTCAGTAAAGTATTTGCCACGTGAGCATGAGAACTCACGTAAGAAGCCAGACACAGTGGTTCAAGCCTGCAACACCAGTGCTTGGGAGAGACCAGTAGCAGGATCCCTGGTCTTCACTGTTTACCAGACTAGCTGAGCTCTTAAGCTCCAGGGTCAGTGAGAGCCCTTGTCTCAAAACGTGGTGGGAAGCTGGGCAGAATGATGTCCAAGGCTGTCCTCTGTCCTCACATTCACGTGAGCATTCAAGTACACATACACACACAGGCACACAGTACACATGAGGTCTTGGTCTTCTGTTCACTAGGATGAGGGGCTTACAAGATTTCCTCCTTGATGATCTATAGTCAGTTGCTTGAGTCTGGGGGAGAAGAAGACTTTTTTCTTCCCAGTGATGTGGCCATTATACTCCTAAATAAAACTAATTAAATTTCTTGGCACATACATGCACAGAAAAGGAAAGGGGAAAAAAAAGACCTGAACTGGAGACTAAATGAAGAGGAGGGGGATGTAGGGAAATAGGGGTAGAAAAACAGGACTAAAATATAATTTAAAGTTATTTGAAGTCATTGGTGCATTTGGGTTGGTGCATTTGGGGAAGCCAGTTTAGTCAGACCCGAGTATGCATGGGAAGGAAGAAGGCAGACTACACAAGTTCAGGGTTTTCAACCTGTTTGCGTTTTCTGTGCCATCTGAATACTGGAGATTTTTAGTGGCCACCTTAGAAAACAGGCTTGGGACACACCATCCAATCCGAAACAGTTTAACTCCGTTACTGAAAGGGGCATTCCAGTCCACTGACCTCATCCTGGGCCCTGACTTTAGCTGCCGCCCATCTTCCCAGCTCTTCCTCTGACATGAGGGGCCCACATGTCACGTGTATGACACAACCCACCTAGGGCCTCATTCAGCAGACCTGCAAGGCACAGGTATTTGGAAATGTGACCCACATACTGAGCTACAACTGGCCTCCTTGTCCGGGACAACATGCAAAGTTCCTTTGCTTTACTGAAATTGCCATTTGCAAATTGGAGCTGAAAAAAAAAATGCCTTTTTAGACTGTCTTGTCATAAATCAGAATAGCAAACTAATGTTTAATGTTCTGATTATTCTCAGGATAGTGAAAGTGAACTCAGATCAAGGCCTTTGTGGTTGAAGCCATGTGTCCTCCACTTGATTGCCATATGGGGTGAAATGAATATTTATGAAGACCCTGGATCGCAAGTGTTACTCTCTTCAGGAATGTGGTTTTACTTTCAAACTTCAGATCTCAGGTGTTTAAATAGTGTGTGCTCTGTATTTCTCTCTGTGTCTGTGTGTGTGTTAAGATTTATTTTTAGTGATGGTGGTGGTGGTGATGGTGGCGTATATGTGAATGTCATGTAAGTGCCTGTGTCCACAGAGGCCAGAAGAGAGCACCAGACTGTCCTGGAGCTGGAGTTACTGGATCATGTGAACCACCAGGCATTATGAGCCACCTAACATGGCTA